AATTCTGCTGTATAATCCTGATCTTGACTAAACCAGGTAAAGTGATTGAAAGTTTATTTTTGCTATTAGGCTTTTGGGGAGTGTTAATGCTATTGATGAGCCTACTTCACTCTCTCTAAAACAGATATCATCATCTGTTCTATGTAGGACTAGAGAAACTAGTACTGACCTACCTCAGTGCTATCACCAGTGGGGCTCTGCCCTGCATGGAGAATGCTGTTCTGGCCTTGGCCAAGATGGAGAACTCAGCTGCAGTGAAAAATGCCATTGCCCACTATGACCAGCAGATCAGCCAGAAGGTGCAGCTGCCCACAGAAACCCTCCAGGAGCTGCTGGACCTGCACAGCACCAGTCAGAGAGAGGCCATAGAAATCTTCCTCAAGACCTCCTTTAGAGATGAAGACCACCTATTTCAAAAGGAATTACTGGTATTGTCGAGTTTAAATGTATAGGGGTTGTGAAATTCAGAATACTGTGAGGAAATGAAATCAGTATATATTTTGAGAGAGGTGATTGTTACTATCTTTTAAAATGGTGACAGTTAACCTTTAATAATCATGATAATAATTAAAAATAACTTTCTTATTATGGGCTTAATTTTTAAAGCATTTTTTCTTTTCCATGCAATGTTATAGTCGTCCTTCTAACTTCCTGTATATGAGACAGAGTTTCCAATTTGAAAACAAGCCTGCTGTTAGCATGCTGATTTACTGTTACACTAAACAAAAGCAAAGAAACTAGACAAGGCCAATATTGTATCACATATAGTCAATTTACAGTAATGATTGGTCCAATTTGAAATAAAAATGTTTAAACAATGTGTAGTAAAGCTTGCAATGTTTTCTCTAAACATCCTTTATATGAAGAAAGTACTGTATTACAAAGCCCATGTGAAGAGAAAGGATGGAGTTCTGCCATGAGTATCAAGGATCTTTGGGGATAACCATTGCCTAAAATTCTGAGGTAGAATTAACATATTTTCCTTGTTACATTTTTGCTTCCTGTATTTGTTTTATAGGCTCAGCTAGAAAAAAGATGGGATGACATTTGCAAACAGAATGTCAAAGCATCATCAGATAGGTGCTCGGAGTTGCTTCGAAATATTTTTGGTCCTCTGGAAGAAGCCTTGACAAAGGGAGTTTATTCAAAGCCAGGAGGATATATTCTCTTCACTGAGGAGAGAGAACAGCTGAAGAAAAAGTACCTTCAGGAGCCCAGGAAGGGCATACAGGTAACGAAGATATATCTCTGAATACTGGGAATCTACTGGTATGCATCTATTAAACTCCAGGGTGACGATGTGCTTATACACAGATGTAGTGTTGCGTGTGCATAGTACTCAGTCTTTAAACCTGTGAATAAACTTGCCAAGGGAGTGCATTTCACCAGATGTACACAGGCACTCATCAAAAACAGTGCGTTCAACAAATATTTGAGTCATACATTGATCGAGAGGATAACCCATTCTTACAACCCTCCCTTGATGTTGCAAAGGACAGAAATGCTATGGTAGTTGTTTAAGTAGAAATCTTAATTATTTTAGCCCTCAAACTGGTTTGAAGGAAAACAGGAGCCAAATGTTCAAATTGGGCCATCCGTTTTCTTTCAGGTGTTACACCTGGCCTCACCTCTCTCTAGTCTTGCTTCATCTCCATTCCTCCAATTTGCTTCCCCCACGATGACTTAATTTTCCAGCACATTCAGCCCACGAGAAGCCAAAATTAGAGCTCTCCGTTTGAAAAGACAGGGACTTTCTTTATCCAACTATTCTTATTATTTCTTACAAGACTCTTTCTAGAAGGTTCTACAATTGCCTGCCTGGTAGTCTGGGATATGGAGACTTGACCACCAACACTATCTAAATTGAGAAGAGTACCTAAAGGAAAGACGGGGAGACAGACAGGAACAAACACCTGCAGCATTTCCTCCTGGTAACTCTGTGTTCTTGGACTCTAAGGCTGAAGAGATGCTGCAGGCTTACTTGCAGTCAAAGGAGGCTGTGACTGAGGCGATTCTACAGAGAGACCAGGCTCTCACAGAAAAGGAAAAGGAGATTGAAGGTGAGAAGCGACCCAGGAGACTGCGTATAAGATCTCTTAAAAGTTTAAATATTTGACCAACTAAAATTGTTATCATTAAAGTAGAGCGAGAAGAACAAGGGTTGCATTGCCTTCTGAAGCCATCGCTGAGTTTGGCTTATGTGGTCACCAGCACGGTGGTGACCCCAAAGGAAAAATAGTCCTAGGAGGTGCCTTATATAAAGAATTACAGATCGAATTGTAGAAATAAGGAACAGAGAATAAGGCAGAAATGGACATGTGCGTTGACTTTTCTTCTTCATTTTCCTCAGTGGAACGTGCAAGAGCTGACTCTGCACAGGCTGCTGTAAAGATACTGGAGGTAATGCAGAAGAAGCATGAGCAGATGATAGAAGAGAAAGAGAAGAGTCATCAGGAATACGTGAAACACTTGGCGGAGAAGATGGAGAGGGACAGAGCTCAGTTAATGGAGGAGCAGGAGAGGATTCTGGCTCTTAAACTGCAGGTTTACAGTTGCTTCCTTCCTACTTTGTTTTCCCTGTCAATCAAAAGTGCAGTGTAGGGCTCCACCTCACTGCAGACTCTGATTGGCTCTGCATCGTCTTACTGCCTCCACACCTGCCTATGTTTAGTTACTGATGACTATTACACTTGTATGATGAATTTGCAAGGAGTCCCTAATGTATAGCTATTTACTGCCTAATACTGCAAGTATAAGCACCTGTAAGTGCATCCATGCCATGGAAACTATCTTATTTTCCTTTTTAATTTGGAAAATTGTCATTTCAGGAGCGGTGAATAACTTCTTCCAGTCTTATGAGGAAGTGTATCTGATCTATCTGTTCTACTAACTGAGGGAGAAAAATTTTGTTTTTTCCTCATATTTCTATAATGTTATAGCTAGGAGCACATGCATTAGGAGAAGATTCCAGAACTCGGCCCAATAAAGCACATTGTCTAAATGCCAAATCTAGGAATGCACTGTTCTCCAGGCGATGCTCCAAGTTTGGATTGAGTCTGGATCTCAGATCACTAGTGCTTATGTCTCCTATTAATGAAGGCAGTCAAAGATCTTTACAATGAAAACTTTACAGTATTAACAAAGAAATTGAAATGGTTTCAGATCAGTTGCAGCTCTATTGCTCCAAATCCTGTATCCAAAGCATGTTCTGTCTTCAGCAGGTGGGTCTTACCTTCAAGTTCTGGGAGGCAATTAAGGGCTCTGGCAATAGCCTAAGTAATTTTTAAAGTCTCTTGGACCACCCTGGCCAACAACTCAAAGGAAGGTTTCTCCTGTCTGGCACTGTTTTATGTCTTTAGCTATACACATGGCTTCATGTAGAAATAATGTATGTGTAATTTGCCAGTAAGTTGTTGGACTAATATGATTCTGGTTGTTTTTTTTT